AGCACCACGGACAGCACCCGCCCCAGGCGGTCCGTCCAGCGCGCTGCCAGACCTTCTCGCTTCACCCAAAGGCTTTCCTCCCCAGAACCCGACACGGACACCATCAACTGTGACCAGTTCAGCAGGCTGCTGTGTGACATAGACGGCGACGAGGAGACCCGGGAGGCATATGCCAACATTGGTGAGCAGCGCCTGGTGCCCAGCCAAAGGCAGCGGGGCGGGGGAGGGGCGTTGGGGAAGGCCCTTGGTTCTGGCCTGTGGGTCTTGCCAACCCTCCGGGAGCCAGCAGGCCCTTCCCTCAGAAGTCATGGCCGGGGGATGCAAGCAGGGGCCCGGGAAGCCGGGAGACCGACCAGGGAGGGAGTGGGCCCCTTCACTAATGACCCCAGGCAGACAAAGGCTCACGATATCCTCCGCTTCAGCTTCAGCGCCCTGTTCTGTTTCTGGCGCTTCTTCCTGTCCTTCCTACAAAGCCCACACGACACACCTCTTCCCTTTTCCTTCCCAGCCCCTGCCCCAAGCGACTCGTATTTGCAATGACTCCCACTGACCGGCACGTGCCGTGTGCTAACTGCTATGCATGCGTGACTGACTTGAACCCTCACACCTACACAGGAGCACGCACTCTTTGTTTTTCTCTCTTACAGAGGAGGACATTGACGTCTAGAGAGGTGAAGGCACCTGCCCCAGACTGCTTAGAGATGCCAGTGGGCAGGTGTGAAATCCTAATGCGGCCTTTCTCGTTTCAAAGTCCCCAGTTTTAACCCCAGAAAGGAAAGTGACTTGCTGAGACTTAAGCAGAGAAGCTGATTTGCAACCTAAAAAAGATCTTCAGCTTTCAGACAAGGGCGGAGCTCTTTGGGGAGAAGTAGAGTTGCTGCTGCTGCTGGGTTTTGGGGATGGGCGGAAGAAGGGGGTGGAGGCTCCCCCTCACCAGCATCCCTGCTATCCCATGCAGAGCCTTTGTTGACTTGGGAAAAGGTACACTGTCTCCTGGAGGATGGAGCCCCCACCAGCAGGTGACAGCTTGGGTAGCAACATGCAGGCTGGATTCCTGTCCCCACCTGCCTCTCGACTGGGGCACCCTTGTGCAGTGAGCAACCTTATTGGCCCTTTTTCTGGCAACCCAGAGACCACATTTCTTAGCAGGTCTGTTCTTGGCACAATTGTGGCCAATTTTTCTCCAGAGTGCAGTTACTTGAGCATTATGCAAAGGCAGAATGAGGAAAGGACCTGCGACCATGTGTCTCAGAGATAGCAGAACCGAGAGTCGGTTGCTTCCTTCCCTTCCTGGGAATCACTTGGGGGAAGCAGACATGTTTGGTGTGGAGGACACTTGTGTTTCCTCACCACTGGAGGCAGAATTAAGGATGTGGGCATCTCTTGGGATTTGGGTTTTGCTTTCCCTTGGGAGGTCCCCGTAGGCAGTGGAAGCTGCCCAGGCAGGTAGGGGAGGCAGGGACTTAATTCATTCTCTGTTGCTTATAGCAGAATACCCAAAACTGGGTGACTTACAAAGAGAAGAAATTTGTTTCTTCTAGTTCTGGAAGTGGAGAGGTCCTTGGTCGAGGGGCAGCATCTGGCAAGGGCCTTTATGCGGTGGCGACACAGCAGAGGCCCGAGGCAGCTCAGGGCACCACGTGGGGAGGTGTCAAGCATGCCAGCCAAGGTTCCCCTTTTTCTTCTCAGGAAGCCACAGCCCCACTCCTGGGATACCCCATTCGTCCGCGAATGGGCGAATCCATCCATCACCTCTCAAAGGCCCCGCTTCTCAACACTGCCACGTGGGGGATTCAGTTTCAACATGTGCTTTGGTGGGGACAGCCATTCAAACCACAGCAGGCAATTTCACTCGAGCCTGTAGGTTTATCCGTGCTTCTAGAAGGCCAGGCTCGGGCCTGGACAAGTGTTCATTCAAGACATCCTGAAAGGCCACCTTGGCTGCCACATGTGTAAACTGAGGCAGTTGTGGGATTGAATAAGTTGCTGTGCAAAGCATGTAGAGAAGGGAGAGAAAGCGCTCGGTGGGCGCTCAGTGCCAGCTGCAGCCACCATCATCGCTGTCATCCCGTCATCACTGTCGCGGTTCCATCCCCCAGCTCAGAAGCCTCCCATGGCTCTCCAGGGCCTGTGAAATCATGTCCCGACTTTCGCCTGTGTCTCAGTTTCCCAGTGTGTCTTGAACATCTTTCCTCCCCCAGAAAGAGCCCCTTCTCCTCCTCTCAGACTCTGCCCCGTCTTTCAAGGCCTGGCTCCAGCATCCCCTCCTCCGAGGAGCCTTCCCCAATTGCCCCATCCAGCGATACACTCTTTCCTCTGTACTTCTGCCACGATCATGCTCTTCCATGGACTCCAAGCCATGTACCATTTCACATAATTAACCCCCACTTACTGAGCACCTACTGTGTACCGGCTACTGCCTGTAATCACCACCGTCGATCCCCGGGTGCTTGGTATTATTTATTCTCCTTAAGCAGTGGAAACAGTGACCCAGAGAGGTTATGTAACTGGTCCAAGGTTGCACAGCTAGTAAGGTCAGTGGAGAGGAGATGTGGAATTTGAACTCAAATCCCATGCCAGCTCTGCCGCTGTGCCTTGCACTGCTTTGTGTATATCTTTTCATGGACACACACCTCAGCCTTTCAATTAGATTAGGAACCCACGGAGGGTCAGTGTTCATTCATTCATTTGATCACTCACTTGTTCAGCAAACATTTCTTCAGCCCCTACCGTGTGCCAGGTCCACAGGATCACAGCTCCATGGTGCCTAGCCCAAGACCCAGCAAGCAGTGGGTCTTCGGTGAGATGTGCGGATTGACTAACTGTGCTTTTCCTTGTCTGGGCAGCGGAACTGGACCAGTACGTGTTCCAGGACTCCCAGCTGGAGGGCCCCAGCAAAGACATCTTCAGTAAGTCAGGGGCAGGGGTATCAACTCAGCCTGCATTCCTGCCTTGTTCCTGAGGGGGGGCACCCTTGTACCTGATGCCCACTCCTCGAGTGCTGCTCAGACCCCTCCCCGCAAGGCGGGACAAGAGAGGCTCACCTCGGGCCTCTGTTGATCCTGCCAGTTGGTCTCTGGCTTTTCTCCAAAGTAGAGCACATAGGATCCGACGAAGTGACCGGCGAGAGTGTGGAGGTGCTGGGGGAAGTGGGGCAGAAGAGTCAAAAAAGACGTGAGTGAGCGACCTCCCCAGCTCAGCCTTCTTCTTGGTTCCAAAGCCTGCTATGGTTCCCACTTGCTTCTCTTGTGAAGTCCCATCTGCCTCGCTTGGGGTTGGGGTTCCTGCTGCCCCTTTCCTCACTACTGCTTGGTGGTAACCCAGGGGAAGATACAGATGGCCCAGGTGCAAATGGCCGTTCTCCTGGTGGGCTTCTGTCTTTGGCCGACCTGGGATCCATTTCTGAAAGGACCATTGGCTTCTGTCTTCCTTTTCCTTCCTTCCTTCTTTTCTTTTTTGTTTTGAATCAGGGTATTGCTCTGTTGCCCAGGCTAGAGTGCAACCTCAAACTCAAGCAATTCTCTGACCTCGGCCCCCCAAAATGTTGGGATTACAAGAGTGAGCCACCGTGCCGGTCCTTCTCTTTCATCCTCAGTGGTCAACCTTGTATTTGAGGGAGGTCTTTCCAAACACAGGTTCTGACATCAGCAAGAATGGTGTTTTTTGTTTGTTTGCTTCCTTTGGTTTGGTTTGGTTTTTTGATTTGGAGTCTCACTCTGTCACCCAGGCTGGAGTACAGTGGCATGCTCACGGCCACCACAGTCTTGACCTGCTGGGTTCAGGAGATCTTTCCACCTCAGCCTTCCAAGTAGCTGGAACTACAGGTGTGCACCACCACACCTGGCTAATTTTTTGATTTCTTGTAGAGACAAAGTTTCACTATGTTGCTGGTCTCTACTCGAACTTTTGGGCTCAGGCAATCCTCTCACCTTCACCTTCAAAGTGCTGGGATTACAGGTGTGAGCCACTGTGCCCACCCAAGGATGGAGTTTGAATCCTGGATCTGCAACTTAGGATCTGTGTGATCTTGGCCAAGTACCTGTACCTCTCTGAGCCTCCTGCCAGTCTCCCTGCCTCCTTAATCTGTCCTCATGCGGCAGCCAATAGGAGCTTTAAAATGGGTTATCTCACGACCCTGCTAACCCTTCAATTATTATAAAATGTATACCACAGGCCTGCATGGCTAACCCTTCCCAACTCTCCCAGCTCACATGAGCCACCACACTTCAGCCACCTCTGGCTTCTTTCCACTCCTGCAACCCATATGCCTTCTCCAGCTTCAGGGCCTTGGCACGTGCTGTTCTCTCTACCTGGAATGCCCTTCCTCCAGTTCTTCCTTTGGCTGGATCCTTTGAATTTTTTAGGTCTTGGCTAAAATGTCTCCTCCTCCTGGAAGCCTTCCCTGACTGCCCTTCCACCTAGATTAGCTCACTCATTCTCTCCTTATGTGTGTCTTTCCTCAAATCTTAGTGCTTGCTGCAATCTGGACTTAGGTTGTACCTAGTTCTCCTGTGGTGAGGACAGAACCTCATCTTTCTTGCTCATTGCTACATTCCCAGCATCGAGCATGGTGCCTGGCATGTAGAAGTGCCCCATTAATGTCTATGAATGAAAATATTTGTAAAATGGGCAAAACAAGCCAGGTGTGATGGCTCATGCCTACAATCCCAGCACTTTGGGAGGCGGAGGTGAGAGGATTGCCTGAACCTAGGGATTTGAAACCAGCCTGGGCAACTTGGCGAGACTTCATCTCTACAATAAAATTAGCTGGGAGTGGTGCTGCACGCCTGTAGTTCCAGCTGCTTGGAAGGCTGAGGCAGAAGGATCGCCGGAGCCCGGCAAGGTGGATGCTGAGGTGGCTGTGCACATGCCACTGCACTCCAGTCTGGGCCACAGAGTGAGACTCCAACTCAAAAAAAAAAAAGGGCATAACAATTAAATGAGTTCTTACTACATGTGAGACCATGTGTAAGCTCTGTACCTATTTATTTTTGAACATGTGAATCAGGTTGCCTGGTATAAAAATTTTAAAGTGCAAAGAATATTCAGTGAGAAAAGCCTCTTTCCCACGCCTGTTCCCTAGTCCCTCAGTTTCCCTCCCTGAAGGCAGCCCATGTTGTTATTCTCCTTTCTGCCTTGTCAAAAATATTCCTTTCTATCAGGTGCTGTAGCTCATGCCTGTCATTCCAGCACTTTGGGAGGCCGAGGCAGGAGGAGCGCTTGAGCCCAAGAGTTTGAGACCAGCCTGCCCAACATCACCACATCCCATCTTTACAAAAAGATTAGCTGAGCAAGGTGGGGCGCACCTGTAGTCTCAACTACTTGGGAGGCTGAAGCAGGAGGGTTGCTTGAGCCCAGGAGGTCAAGGCTGCAGTGCCCTCCAACTTGGGCAACAGAGACCCTGTCTGTAACAAAAAAAAAAAGAAAAAGAAATAATTCTTTCATCTATAAGCCAGCTCCTTTCTTTATTTTTTATTTATTTTTATTTATTTATTTTTTTGAGTTGGAGTCTCACTCTGTCGCTCCCGGCCACCGCAGCCTCGACCTGCTGGGCTCCGGCAATCCTTCCACTCAGCCTTCCAAGTAGCTGGAACTACAGGTGTGTGCTACCACGCCTGGCTGATTTTTTTTATTTATTGTAGAGATGAGGTCTTGCCAAGTTGCCCAAGCGAATCTCGAACCCGCGGGCTTAGGCAGTCCACTCACCTCAGCCTCCCAAAGGCACGAGATTACAGGCTGAGTCACCAAGCCCAGCTTCCTTTTTTTATTTTTGTCTCACCGTGTCACCCAGGCTGGAGTGCAGTGGCACACTCATGGCCACCACAGCCTCTACCTGCTAGGTTCAGGAGATCCTTCTGCCTCAGCCTTCTAAGTAACTGGAACCACAGGTGCGTGCCACCATGCCTGGCTAATTTTTGGTTTTGTTGTAGAGATGGGGTCTCACCATGTGGCTCAGGCTGGTCTTGAACCTGTGAGCCCAGGCAATCCTCTCACCTCCGCCTCCCAGAGTGTTGGGATTACAGGTGTGAGCCACCGCACCCGGCATCCAACTCCTTTTATTTTTTAACCATTTTCCATGCAAAGGCCACATTTCACCCACCCTGCTCTGCACCTTGCTTTCTCCATCGGATGTGCCTGGGAGGCCACCACCACACCCCTGATGGAGAAGACTTGGCCCCATCTCCAGGGCGTCTTCCTTCCGTTCTGTTTTTCTTTCTTTTCATTTGATTGCAATTTTCTCCACCATCTTGTGATGAAAGCGTGAAGGTGGAAGACTTGTCCCACAAATGCCCATACACCCCCTGCCTTGATTCTGCAGCTAGGGCTGGGTTCTGTGTGCCTGACATTGCTGTCCGCTTGTCCATCCCTCTGTCTACCCACCACCCATCTGTTTTACTTTTGGTACATTTCACAGTCAATTGCAGACACCAGGACACACCCCCACCGTACTGTCTGTTGGGGCTGCGTGGTGTTCCACAGGGCAGATGGGCCAGAACGTCCCTCGCTGAGGCACACGTGGGCTTTAATCTGTGATGTGTTCAGTGCTCAAAGCTAACTTGCCAATTTCCAACGTACTCCTGCAAAGAAGGAACCGCCACCCCCAAGTCACAGGTGTGATGTCAAAGGCTCAGAGAGGCTGCCCTGCAAAGGCATACAGTAGGAGGGGTTCAAAAGCGGTGTGTGATTGGACGCAGTGGCTCACACCCGTAATCCCAGCACTTTAAGAGGCTGAGGAAGGAGGAGCGCTTGAGCCCAGGAGTTCTAGTCTATCCTGGGCAACATAGCAAGACATCGTCTCTACAGAAAATATAAAAATTAGCAAAGTATGGGGGCATGCACCTGTGGACCCAGCTACTTAGGAGGTCGAGGCAGAAAGATCACCTGAGCCCAGGACATCGAGGCTGCAGTGAGCCATGATCGTGGCACTGTACTCTAGCCTGGCACACACAATGAGACCCCGACTCAAACACAAAACAAAACAAACAAAAAACAAAAGCAGGTTAAGACAGAGTCTCACTGTCACCCAGACTGGAGTGCAGTGAAACAATCATGGCTCACCACAGCCCCCAACCCCTGGGCTCAAGTGATCCTCCTATCTCAGCCTCCCGAGTAGCTGGGACTACAGGCTTGTGCCACCATGCCCGACTGATTTTTTAATTATTTTGTGTAGAGTTGAGGTCTGGCTATGTTGCCCAGGCTGGTCTCAAACTCCTGCCCTCAAGCGATCCTCCCTCCTCAGGCTCCCAAAGTGCTGGGATTTTAGGCATGAGACACTGTGCCTGGACACTTGTTTTGCTTTTTAACTCAGACCCATGTTGTGTCCCCTTTGATGCCTCATGGCCTGGGGTGCTTTGAGATGGAATTTAGGCTCAAGCCAAGGAGCAAGGGGTGGGAAGTTAGAGGAAGGGGAGAGGAAGGGCCCCTGGAGGCCACTTCCAGCCTTGAAGGGAAGGCCCTAAGGTCTGCGGGGCCTGAACCCCTCTGGGCCAGGGCCACCCTTCCCTGGGCAGCTGACCATGGTGTTCTCTCTGCAGCTTTCCCGGAGGAGCTGCCCACCGGCCTGAAGCATCCGAAGCTAGGTGAGCAGGCCAGGTGGGCCGGGGAGGGGCCGAAGAGGGGAGCTGGGGCCTTCTCGGGAGCTCGAGCAAACTGACATCGAAGGCCAGGCTCAGAGAGGGGAAGACATGAGTCCAAGGTCGCACAGCTCATGGGAGGGGAGATGGGATTCACCTGGTCCGTGCTGCTGGGGGACTTGGCCTCTCTTCACCCGCCCCCCCTCGCCAGCCGCTCCTAGCGGGGTGCAGGGTCACTAGGGCCGGCTGCCACCCAGTGCCCCCTGCCCTGCTTCGTGCCCCATGCCCTAGCAAGACCGTGCCAAAGCTGCCCGGCCCAGATGCTCCCTCCTCTCCTTCCCTCCCTCCCCTGCCCTCCCCTCTCTTTCTCTTTCTTTCTCCCCTACCCAGTTGCTGCAAAGGTGGGGAGCCCGGCCCCAGTGTGGAAAACAGGCTAAGGAAGGAAAGGCCCATAGTCCGATGGAGGAGGCCTAGTCCCTGCACTCAGAAAGTTCCAGTCTGATGGGGAGAGAGGAACTCTGCCCATGAAGCTCTGCCTAGATGACAGTGATCACTACTCAGGGAGCTCCCAGTCTGATGAGCGAGGCAACTTCCTCCCATCTTAGGTCTCTCTGTTACATGGAGGAGATTAAACCCCTACCCCAGTCTGACGGGGGCAGCACACGGTGCAGCCCCAGGCCTCCCATGGGCAGACCCTGAGTGCTTGGGGCCTCTGAGGACTCCTGAGGGACTGGCTCAGAGACTGGGTGTGGAAGGTGATAGGGCCAGAGCCAACAGCCCACCCGTGGACTCTGTTCCACCCCAGCTTTCCGTGTGGGGTCTGAGGGTCCTGCTCAGGGAGGCACTCGGGGCCCAGGCACAGGAGGGGACTGCGGCCTGCCTGCGCAGAGCCGAGAGGAGGACAGGCATTTCCTGCAACTGTCTGAGGAGACAGCCACCCCAGGAGGCCCCCGGGCACCCAGCCACATCTCATTCGGGGCCTTTCCTCACAGCCGAGCTCCCCGCTGGGCCCATGGTGACTGGCACTTTCCTGGCGGGGCCAGCAGGCGACTGCTCCTCCCTGCCCTGCCCTCCGCTGCCCGCCCTGCTCACCAGCCAGACCCTTCCAGAAGAAACTGACCCAACACCCAGTATGTGAGGGGCTTGAGGGTGGGCATATACCCTCCCGGGAGGCAGCTGAAGAGCTATCACTAAGGCATGGGCTGCCAGGAATGGAAATCACCTCCACCTGCCCATATCACCCACCTCCATCCCAACCCATTCCACCCTCAGGGTCCCCGTCAGCCCAGTCCCTGCCGGAGAACATGCCTCAGAAGGAGACACCTCCCTGGGGGACCGAGGAGGCATTCCTCACCCGTTAGGGTGCCTCCCCCCAGTCCTGTTCATTCACCAGCTCTTCATGGAGCACCATCTCTGTGCCAGCCATCACGCTCACGCTAGGGACGCCACCGTGGGCAAGACAGGCAGAGCTGTGGCTCTGGGGAGATGAGCACCCATGGGGGGCGTCAGACACCCACCAGATAATCACAAGCAAAACTGCAAGCGTGGTGCTGTGTGTGACGCCCCTCTTTGTCTCTTTCAGGGTCCCCCTCCAGTGCCTCAGGGGGCTGCCTGAACCTCCCTGCAGGGTCCATCCATTTCATCCCCACCCTCCGCACTCTGCCCCAGGGGCTCTGGCAGATCTCTGGGCCTGGGACAGGGGTCTCCAGCATCGTCATCTACCAGGGTGAGCGCGAAGCCTGGGCCCCGGCCACCTCTGCCTCCTGACTACTTCCTGACTCTCCCTCCCCACTGGGCATTTGGCAGTGGAGGCCCAGCATCTTCCCATGATCCTCCCTCTCTAGCATACCTTTCTCCGTTCCCATTTCTCCAAAGTCAGAGCAGAGGCACACAGCTCCTGAGGTGGTCTGGGGCGTGGCTGAGGGTGGCTGTGCGGTCTTTCATGTGTCACTCTCCCCCTCTGACCCTTTGTTCTTCCTTCTCTTTTAAAAATCCTATTTAATTTTCAAATTGCAACATCGATACCTGCCCATTAACAAGCCCAACAATGAGCAATACTTGCAGGAGCTGACAGTCTCCCTCTCTCTCTTGGTATACGGGTATGAACAGGTCGGCGTGCATCCTGGCACAACTTTCTCCAATTTGTCATCTTTCCTTATCGGTAAAATGGTCCCTACCGACCCTCCACACTGAGGGGCTATGATTTGTCCCAGGAAAGTCATGTTTGGGCTCCCAGGGATAAGGCCAGGAGGATGCTTCCCCTCAATTCAGGGCATCCTTTTGGGACAAAATGCCAGTTTCTGTGTGATGCGCCAGCACCCTGGAAGCAAGAGAGCAGCTCCTGCCATCTAGGAAAATAGACTCGACTGGCTACACAGCAGGAAGAGTGCTGTGGTGGCACTTGCTCCAGGCTCCTCAGTAGCTGACTGTGTTTGTTTCACAGAAGGGGAAGCCAAGGCTCCAAGAGCCAGATGTCACACCAGAGCTCCTGCCTTGGTTCCTTCCTGAAATGCCTCCTGGGGAAGTCTCTTTCTCCTCTCCCCAGACTTCCCGAGCTCCACAGCCTGCTTTGGGGTGGGCATGACCCAGGTGGGCTCTGGATGGGCTCCTGGTTGTCCTCACACTCCCTCCACCCCAATGCAGGTGAGATGCCGCAGGCCAGTCCGGCACCCCCTTCCAGCGGCCCCACTGTCCATGGCCTCCCAACGTCCCCAGGCCGGCCCGGCTCCACCAGCCCCTTCGCTCCATCCGCAGCCGACCTGCCCAGCATGCCTGAACCCGCCCTGACCTACCGAGCAGACACAACAGGTGAGGACCCCTGGGCAGTGAGAGGTCCTGGAGGCCCAGGGAAGGAACTGCCTTAAAGTCCATGAGCAGAGCTGCCCACAGGGATGGCAGGTCATGTTCAGGGTTGGACAGGACAGAGAGCATCTCCAGGGGTGGAGGGCAGGGCTGGGAGGAGGGGACGGCTGGAGAACATCCACCCACAAGAGATCACCAGCCTCTAGCTGGTGTTACCAGTGTGACCAGATCTGAAGTTGAGCATCCTGGTTTTTACACAGATATGGTAGTTTTTAAAACAGGGATGACATTTTTTTAAAGTACAGCTGGCCAAAGAAAGACAATGTCAGCTAGGTATAGTGGCTCATGCCTATAATTCCAGCATATTGGAAGGCTGAGGCAAGAGGACTGCTTGAGCCCAGGAGGTTGAGACCAGCCTGGGCAGTCTAGCAAGACCCCATCTCTACAAAAAATTTTTTAAAAATTAACCAGGTGTGGTAGTGCCCTGTAGTCCCAGTTACTTAGGAGGCTGAGGCGGGAGGATCATCTGAGCCCAAGAGTTGAGGCCGCTGCTACACTCCAGTGCCCTGGGGATGTTCTGAGGACTGAATGGCCCTTAGGGGGGGTCCCCAGGGGTGCCCCGCCCTAACTCTGACACCAACCTCTCCATCTCCAGAGGGCGAGATGTCCCCCACCCACTGCCAGGCAGCGGGAGAGGTCTCCAACAAGCAACTCAAATGGCCTGGTAAGTGGTACGGGGTCCCTCTCCCCCGGGTGCTGGAAGTGGAAGCCCAAATCTGGCCTCAAGTCACTCATTCACTCGATGCTTCTTCAACCCCTTGTCCATGGGCTCACACGTTCACTCACTCACTCACGGGATCACGCCATCCTTGCAGCCTTCCCTCCACCACTCCCTCGGGCTGTCTTTCCCCATGACCTGCCCCCTGATGAGCCCACACTGGGGCTGAGAGGGTTTTTGAGACTGAGGAAATGAATGAGGGGCGAGTGGGTGAAGGAGGGGGCTGCTGAGGATGGAGGGCTGGAAGGCGGGACTGGAAGAGCGGCTAAGAGCAGGGCCAGGTTGCTGAACGCGGGCCTCGGCAAAGCGTGCCATGTCGGATCCTTGAAGTCTCAGACAAACCTGATGTCCCATTCACAGATGAGGACACTGAAGTGTAGTGGGGTATATAACATGCCTCAGATGCCACTCAACAAGCAGTGGAGCTGGGATTCGAACCCAGACATGTGGGCTCCACCACCCTAGCTCTTAACCGCCACCCCCCCACCATGGTCTGCCATGGTGAGTGTGTGAGTGACGGTCAGAAGGAATAAACGAAGGAATGAAGCCGGGTGGGGTGGCTCATGCCTGTAATCCCAGCACTTTGGGAGGTGGAGGCAAGAGGATTACCTGAGCCCAGGGGTTCGAGACCAGCCCGGACAACTTGGCGAGACCTCAGCTCTACAATAAATGAAAAAATTAGCTGGGTGTGGTGCCGTGTGCCTGTGGGTCCCGCTACTTAGAAGTCTGAAGCGGAAGGATTGCCGGAGACCAGCAGGTTGAGGCTGCGGTGACCAGGAGCGTGCCACTGCCCTCCAGCCTGGGCAACAGAGGAAGACTCTGACTCAAAAAAAAAAAAGGAAAAACAAAAATCGAGGGATTGGGAAGAGGTGTAGGAGTGAGAAGATGGGTGAATGAATGGATGTGGAAATGAGCGAATGAGTGTCTGGGTGCCTGAACGGCACCCATGAGCACCACACGGGAACGGACGACGCAGTGTGGAGGCGGCTCGTCCTCGCCACCC